CTCTGATTATGGCACTGCGCCCGTTGTTCAATTAACGGGGAGGATGACAACAAAATGAATGGTGTTGGTCAGGAGGAAGAGAGGGAAGCAGGTAGAGGATAGCACGTTATGAGGACCATCGTAATGATGAGGGAGATGAGGATCATAACGGCGACGATGGTAATGATGATGCTGATTGTGTTCGTGGTGGTGATGCCCATGACAATGATGATGATGATGACGACGACGATGATGAGGCTGAAGAGTTCGCTTATGATGATGAAGGTGGGTTGTGCGATCGTGGTGACGATTCCGTTGACGGGGGTCATGCTGATGGCGATTGTTGTAACGATTTTGGTTGTGATGATGGTGGTGGTGCTGATGTTGAGATGCCCGATTTCGATCATGATGATGATGAATACGATGATGACTTGGATGCTGCAGATGGCGGTGTTCACGATAATGATGTTCTGGTGCTTTGCTTCTGAACGTTGATGCTGATCAGGGTGATGGCCCTTATTATGGCAATGCGCCCGTTGTTGAAACGCGGTGAGGATGACGACAGCATGAATGGTGTTGGTGAGGAGGAAGGGAGGGACAGAGGTAGATGATTATGCAGGATGAGGGGTATGATACTCATCACGATGACGATGGTAATGATGATGCTGATTGTGTTCGTTGTGGTGATGCCCATGACGATGATGATTGCGACGACGACCATGGTGCTGATGATGATGAGGCTGATGCGTGTGCTTATGATGATGAGGATGGTTTGTATGATCGCGGTGATGACTCCGTCGACGGGGGATACGCTGATGGCGATCACTGTTAACGATTTTGATTGTGACGATGGTGGTGCTGATATTGAGATAATGATTCGGGTAATGATGGCAAGTACGATGATGACTTGGATGCTGCAGATGGCCGTGTTCACGATAATTATGTTCTGGTGACTTGCTTCTGGACGTTGATGCTGATTAGGGTGATGGCGCTTATTGCGACAATGCGCATGCTGTTGGTGTGGATAGTGATGACAAGTTCGCTGTTGATGGTACGTTTTGCTCCCGCCCTGGACCTCGACCCCCAGAGATCCACGAAGGTCCCGGGAGGTCCCCCGAGGTCCCCGGAGATCTTGTGTTCGTGGTGGTGATGCCGATGATGACGATGATGGTGATGATGATGATGATGATGATGATGATGATGATGATGATGATGATGATGATGATGATGACGATGATGGCGACAACGATGATGATGGTGAGGCCGGAGTTCCTGCTTATTACGATGAGGAGGGTTTGGACGATCGTGGCGATGATTCTGTCGGCGGGGGTACTGCTGATGACGCTCATTGTTACGATTGTGGTTGTGATGATGATGATGGTGCTGATAATTGTGAGAATGATTTTGGTGATGATGCTGATCATGAGTACGATGATGACTCGGATGCTGCATATGGCGACGTTCGCGATAATGATGTTTCTGGTGATTCGACTGTGGACGCTGATGCTGCTTAGGGTGATGGCGCTTACCATGACAATTCGCATGTTGTTGGTGTGGATAACGGTGACAACGGTGCTGTTCATGGTAAGTTTGGCTTCTGCGATGCGGATGTTGATGCTGATGGGATACTGACGCTTACGATGGTGATACATGTGTTGTTGGTGTGGATACTGATGACACTGATGCTGCCCATGATGTGGTCGAATATGCCGATGACAACGATGCTGATGATGTTCATGATCATCCCAATGGGCTTTGTCCCGTCCCGCCATCGTGCTTGTGTTGTGGGCCAGAGTCCTCGTTTTTTTTTTTTTTTTTTTTTTTTTTTTTTTTTTTTGTTTTTTTTTTCCCCCCCCCCCCCCCCCATTTTTTCCCCCCTTTTTTTCGGGCCTCTTCAGAGTATTCTTGGAGGCCTCTGGAGGGCAATTCTTGACGCTTCGCGTCTTCCCACCAGCCCCACGTGGTCGACCGCGTATCGTGCACTACGACGCCCTTCCACTCGATGGATCTGGGCTGACGCATCTCAGTTGTGGAAGGTTCTCCTGCCATCATGCTCCACACTTTGGATGCGCTTTCTTGCGTCGCGACTTGGATTCGCCTTCAGGCTTTCCGCTGGATTTATATCCCCAGTCAGTCTGTGTTACCCGTCAGACTTCCTGGATCGATGTCCTCGGGAACTCTTAAATGCTGAACGGCCTTCCGCCGTGACCCTGGATCGAAGTGGCTCTGAGGGATGCGTCTCGGGTATACGAAGGTCCCGTCCCTCGGGTGCTATCCGGCTCGGTCTGGTAGCGCTGAGACACTTTGGATGTGCACACGCCACGTTGTCGACCGTATATCGTGCACTACGGCGCCCTTCCACTCGTTGGATCTGGGCTGACGCATCTCAGTTGTGGAAGGCTCTCCTGTCACGCTCCACACCCTGGATGCGCGTTCTGGCGTCGCGACTTCGTGTCACCGCCAGGATTTCCCGCTGGACTTATGTCCCCAGTCAGTCTGTGGTACCCGTCAGGCTCCCTGGATCGTTGTCCTCGGGAACGTTCCTTTCTGTCCGCATCTGGACTTCTGGGAACGCCTCACGCGCCATTTTGGCTGCGCTTGGTCTCCTCGGTGCCTGTCCTCAGGCTCGTTGGATGCACCGTTGCATGCCCGTCCTGGGGCTGTCTCAGTCTCCCTGGATTGCACGTCGGCTGCCGCCCTGGGCGCTGCCTCCCTCGCCGCCTGATCCGCGGCCCCCGCGCGCGCTAGGCAATTTAGCCGCGGCCGTAGCCCGCCCGCGACCTCCCGCCGCTGGCGCTTCCGCCTGCGGCTGTAAAAAAAAAGTCTTCCCACCAGCCCATCCAGAAACGATGCCCAGGAGAGCTGACGGGAGAAGGGGGGGAAAGACGCACATACTGAAACCGCGCGGGCAACAACAGTGAATTGGGATATCTCTGGTAGCGAAGGGTGCTGGTGCTGCTGCTGGTGCTGTTGCCTTTGCTGGTGCTGCTGCTGCTGGTGCTGCTGCTGCTGCTGCTGCTGCTGGTGTTGCTGGTTCTCGTGCTGCTGGTGCCGCTGGTGTTGGTGCTAGTGCTGCTGGTGGTGGTGGTGGTGGTGCTGGTGCTGCCACTGCTGCTAGTGCTGTTGGTGGTGGTTGTGGTGGTGGTGGTGCTGCTGCTGCTGGTGCTGCTGCCGGTGGTGACGGTGATGGTGGAAGCAGGCTGTGTAACAACCGCCTCGGGAGCGTTTTCTCGGAGGTTTCTTGGAGCCATTTTGGGGGTCTCTTGGGGTTCTTTTGGGGGCCCTCTTGGGGCATTCTTGGGGCTCTTTTTGTGTGTCTTGCGGCCCTCTTGGGGTTCTTTGTGGGGGTCGGGGAGGCCTCTTGAGACCGTCTTGGCCCCCATTTGTTCAAAAGGAGGGATGTCCCCAATTCAGGTCCTCTCCTTCGGAGGCTTACAGAGGTCGTCTTGGGACCCTCTTTGGCCGCTCTTGGGGCGCTCTTGGGCGCTCTTGGGGCCGTGTTGGGGTCCTCTTCAGCCCCTCTTGGGGTTCCCTTGGGCTACCTTGGGCCCATCTTGAGGCCTCAAGAGCCCATCGGAAAAAGGCTAAAAAACACTGTAGTTGCAAACGCTGTCGGCTATTTGGTGCCAGACGATAGCAGGTGATAGCAGACGAAAGCAGACGATAGCAGACGATAGCAGACGATTGCACCCAAGTGCTTTGTTGCCTCCTGTTTGCCCCTTGCGTTTCCTGCTGGCCCCACAGCTGGTTTCGTGCTATCGTCAGTTTTCGTCTGCAGCGGGTCCAGGCAGCTCCGAGCTGGTCCTATCGTCAGCTATCGTCTGCTATCGTCTGCTGCAGACGATAGCCGACGACAGCCACCCCCGGCGGCCCCTATCAGATCTTATCGTCTTTTATCGTCTGCACCGGTTCTCTGTCGTCTGCAGCGGGCCCTGGCAGCCCCTAGTTAGCCCTATCGTCTGCTATCGTGTGCTATCGCAGCGATTCCTGGTGGCCGCTAGCTGGTCCTATCGTCTGCTATCGTTTGCTATCGTCTGCTGCAGACGATGGCAGACGATTGCCACCAGTGGCCCTAATGCGTCTATCGGCCCCTGCAGTCGATGCCCAATCAGCATCGATGCCCAGGCGACTTATCTTGATCAGGGAGAGGATGGGGAGTGGAGCGAGGAGGGGGAAAGAGGATGAGGAGAAGGAGGAAAACGAGGGGGAGGAGGAGAGCGAACGGAATTGGGAATTGGGTAGCGGGAGGAGGATGAGGAGTACGAGAATGAGGGCGGAGGAAAAGTGGAGTGTGAGTGTATATGAAGGCGTTCCTGAGTGTGACTGTGTATGGGCTTAAGCTTCTAGGAGTGTGAGTGGTCTGTGTGTGTGAATGGGTCGGGAGTTTGAGCGCGTCCTGGACCGAGTTCCAGCGGTCCCAGGGCCCAAAAGCAGCTTCCATATGGCCTCACCGGACTCGCCGGACTCACCGGACTCGCCCGACTCACCGGACCCACCGGCGCCAGCGGAGGAGGCGCCGGACTCACAGGACCCGCCGGACCCACTGGACTCGCCGGACTCCCAGGACTCCCCGGACCCGCCGGACTCGCCGGACTCGCCGGACCCATGGACCCACTGGAGCCGCCAGCAGCGCCAGATCCGGCCGGGCCCACCGGACGGGGGCCAGATCGAGGAGCATGCACGGAGACAGTCCGATCGGCGCCGCAAGCCTGGGTTCGATTCGTGCCGCTGCCCGTGCGCTGAAGGTGGCAACGGCCTGCCGCGTCGCCGCGTACCACTCCTCTCTCCCTCTCGTTTTCCCATCCTTTCTTTTCCTTTCCGCTGTCTCGCCTCCCCTTTCTCCTCGCCTCTCCTCTCCTCTCGCCTCTCTCTTTCTCTCTCTCTCTCTCTCTCTCTGTCGCCTCTCCGCTCTTCTCGCCTCTCCTCTCTTCGCGCCCCCCCCCTCTCTTCTCGCTTCTCTCCTAGCCTCTCCTCGCCTCCCCTCTCCTCGCCTCCCCTCTCGCCTCTCCCTCCTCCGCCAGAGGTGGACGACGGCCACCAGCGCCTCCGGGAGCAGCTCTCGGGTGCCGGGGCCGAGCACCAGCGGCTGGCGAGGCAGCACGGCGAGTTGAGCCGGCAGCACGGGGAGGTGGCCGCGCAGCTGCCGGAGCTGCGGCAGGCCTTGCAGGGCGTCGGGGGCAACGGCAGGGGGTCCTCCCTCCTCCTCCCCGCTTCTCCTCCTTCCCCCGCCTCCCTCCTCGTCGCTCCTCCCTCCTCCTCCTCCCCTCCCTCCTCCCCCCCCCCTCCCTCCTCCTCCTCCTCCTCCTCCTCCTCCTCCTCCTCCTCCTCCTGCTCCTCTTCCTCTTCGTCCTCCTCCTAGTTGACGAATGGCAGGCAGCGTCGCGAGGATGAAGGCGACTTGTTTTCCAGTTATGAGCATTCCGAGGCCTACCAGGACGTCATGTTTCCAAATGTACGACGCCCTGAAGTCCCATGAATGCCAGTATGGTCCTGCTAATATCTTCAACACAGGCATAGCTAGAAACAAATCACTTGTCTTGGGCGTAACTGTCAGTTGTTCCTCCCTTTATTCACATTTCGGTCTTGAAATCGGTATACAACAGCTGGAACACAACTGTACGATTCAGACAGCATATTGGGCCATGTGTGTTCGGATGCCAAACTATTGCAGCAAACCGTCTTGATCACTACGTCAGATGCCCTGTGGATGTTGATCAGTTTCGTTCTCTTCTTCCTCATCTGCCCGTGGCCTGGGGATATCAGTATCATTTTTCCCTCCTCCCTCACCTCTGGCAGTCCAGCATGCCAGAAAGTCTTCTATCGCACGCACTCGATCGCGTCCATTCAGCATTCTGTTGCTTGCGCTGCCGCCGCCCTGTTGCCACCGCTGCCCTTGTGGCCATCCTGGGTCGGCTACGTGCAAGTGCACGTCGGTCTCGACAGAGAACTGAAACATGGAGGGGGGTTGCCTCCTCCTCCTCCTCCTCGTCGTCCTCCTCCTCCTCCTGCTGCTGCTGCTGCTGCTGCTGCTGCTGCTGCTCCTCCTCCCCCTCTCTCCTCCTGCTCCTCCCTCCCCCTTCCTCCTCCTCCTCCCTCCTCCTGCTCCTCCCTCCTCCTCCCTCCTCCCTCCTCCTCCTCCTCCTCCTCCTCCTCCGTCTTCTCCTCCTCCTCCTCCTCGTCCTCCTCCTCCTCCTCCTCCTCCTCCTCCTCACAAGCAACCCTGGCACGAGCGGTTGCAGGAAGGGGGGGTCTCATTTCTCGCATGTTGCGCGCTTCCACTCGTCCAGCCCCCGCGCCTTCTCGTGGTGCTTGGGGTCTGCCCCGCCCCCCACGCCGAGAGCGTAGGCGGTCGAGGCAGCAAAGCGGGGGATGTCGGCTGCCGCCGCGGGGCGCCGCCTGAGGAGCACGTGTGCTGGCTGTCACACGCACCAATGGAACGACGTGCTCACCCATGAGGGCGGTGCCTGCAGGAAGTGCGGGCGGCCAGTCAAGGTATACAAGCCAAAGGCCAAGGGTGGTCAGCCTGGGCCCAAGGGCAAGGACAAAAAGGGCTCCAGAGTCGACGGTGCTGGCTCAGGCGCCCTGGAGCTCTTCAGCCAGACCATCGCGGCCACTAGCGACCCGACGGTCAAGCGCATCCTGCTCAGCCAGCAGGCAACCCTCGTCGTTCAGGCACCCACGACGGCCAGTTCACAGGTGTCTGCTGATGAGGCAGTACGCAAGGCTTCTGGTGTCTGGAAAGACGCAGAGGCGAAACATTCGCAGGCAGTGCAGCAAGTGATTCGATGTAAGGAAACCCTGGTCAAGGCAGAAGTTCGCGAAGCTGGATGTGCGCGGACTTTGGCCCAGGCAGAGTTCAACAAACAGGTGGCCATCAAGGCGCCCGCCAACGCCTCGGGCTTGCAGGTGCAGCCCAACCAGGGGGGCGCTGGCAAGGACGGAGAGGGTGGCGCCTTTCGCGTTGTGGTCGACGATGCCTTCTTCGCGCCCGCCCAGGAGCTCGAGTGCGAAGAGAGCGAGCGCAAGGATCCTCAAGAGTTGGAGCGGCAGCTTCGGGACGTACAGAACGCAATGGCCACGCGGTCCACAGAAGTGAAGGCCTGGTCCAGCGGGCCAGGGCCATCAAAGCCAACTGTCAGGATCGGCAACAGAAGAAGCAGAAGACGGCGGAGACACCTGCTGCGGGAGGCGGCGGCGGCGCGGCGGCCGAGGCCAGGCGGGGGCCAGGGCCAGGCGGCAGCGCGGCAGCTGCCGACGGCGGGAGCCGCGCCAGCGCCTCAGCCTCCGGAGGTCTCCCCCCCGAGGCGCTTGAGGCGCGGGCGCGGGCGCTCAGCGCTGCCTGGGTGGCGGCGGCAGGGGCTGCCGAGCAGGTGGCGGGGGCAGCGGCGGCGGGCGCGCCGCCCGACGCCGAGTTGCGAAGCCAGGCGGCGGCGGCGACCTGGCCGCAGGACGCCGCTGCGCCTTTCGCGCGTGCGCCTGGCAGCCCCGACAGCAGCGCGGCAACTGCCGCACCGAGTGCGGCATTTATGCAGGCCTCCTCGATGGGTCAGACTGCGAGGGCGGTCGCCGATATATATTTTCTGAATCTGGCAGTGGGCGTGGTGAATGCAGCGCGCTATTTTTTCTCCAACTGTATTTGTTTGGGGAAGAAGGCTTGGGGGCATATCCAGGCTCTCGTGTCAGACCAGTCAGGCTCTCGCGTTGACTCTTTGGGGTTAGTTGAGACTCGCATCGGCATTCGTTGAGTGCGAAGTGGAGTGCGAAGTTTCGATCACTGAAGCTCCATCATGTTTTCAATTTGGCACGCGGCGCAGGGGGCGGCGCAACTGCTGTCAAACGTGAGCGAGCCAACGAAGGAGGTACCGTATTTCTTTATCGTCCGCACTTGCATCGGTTTCCCGTCGCAGCTGAAAGCGTTTCAGATCTATGTGCAGATGGTCGTAGCAGTTGCGATGGCTTTCTGCCTGTGGTCGTCTATTTTCGATCCTACTCGCTGGTCGCGGTGCTGGCGCACGGGCGACCGTCTGTCGGCGTGCGAGGGGCTAACTTACAGCGTCTTCATCGGCTTGGAGGGTTTCTTCGAACAGTGCAAATTCCGTGGATGTGTATCGGCGATTTCAATATGGCTCCAGAGGTTCTGCAGAATACATATGTTATTCAGAGGGTGCACGGGCGGCCCAGGCGATAGGAGGCAGAGTTCACCTGCGCCGCCGCCGAGGGGTCGTCACGCATCGACTGCGTGATCGTGGGCCTAGGGGCTGAGAGCTTCGTTGTGGGGCTAGTGCTGATCACCATGTCCCGTGGGGACCGCGCTGTGGTCTGCGTGTGGCACTTCGACATGGTTGCCAGATGCTGGTAACTCGCTCGCTTGTCGTTGCAGGGGAGTTGCCGCAGGTCAGTCGGCCAGGCAGTCTGCCGGCGCCAGGGTCCAAGAGCAGCTGGGCCAGGGCGGAGAGAGCTGTTCGAGGGGCGCTTGCCAAGGGCAAAATCATTGATGAGTCGCATGTCTTGTTTGGCGAGCTGTTCTGCGAACGGGGTGAGGACCGTGGGCAGGACAGGTTTCCTTGAGCGTGTTGTCTCTGGTGCGTTTGCCCTGGGTGAGTGAGAAGAAGAGGGGGGCCCTCGGGCCGAGGGGGCGTGTTTTCAACGGTGTCTGTGGGGGCGTTCGGGGGTCGCGGAAGCCTCCCGCGATGTCTCGATCGCTGGCAGTTCCTCGGTCCCCGATGTGGTCTCCAAGTCCATCCCAGTGTCAGCGTCAGTTTCCGCTGCCAACCCAGGTCCGACCAGTGTAAGAGTGACGAGTCCGACGATGAGTCTGTTTTAGAGCCTTCCAGCTGCAGCGGCCCCATGCTAGGGCAAAGCGTCGGTGCTGAGCAGGCTTGTGAAAACTCGGGGCGTCGCGGGAATCCAGAGTCCCACGCCCCTTCGGATTGTTGGCTTTCGGCTCGAACTAGCTTCGGCTCCAATTTCATACCCCCCCCAAAAAAGCAATGCAGTTTATGCGCGCGGTGCTGCCATCCACGATTCTCTGCCGGTGTCGGTGGCGGGGCCTCGCGTTCTACATCTTTCGGCCCTGTGCGCTGGGTGGGTCTCCACTGGGGGCCGCCGTCGCCAGTCGTCGCGGGCAGCCGGTGAGCGCAGTTTCACGAGCAGCAGATCCATATTTGCGGGGGCAGCACGCGCAGCAGGCAGCTACCTTTCGGGAAGCACCCTTGCAAGATCAGGCTGCCAACTGGTGGGCGAGGGTTGCGCGGGCGCTGGTGCGTGCATGTCGGCATAGAGAGAGCGAGGTTACGGAGCGCGGCAGTTACTGTACTTGTCCCAGCTAGGGGTCAAGTTGAGTTCGGATTACCCAGGGGGAGTTCATGCAGTTTTACCTTCGACCGACATCAGCGACTGGGGGCACTGGATTTCTTTTATGAGCAATGGGTTCTCCTCTGATGGCAGGGGTCTCGACAGTTTCCTGCAGTCCGCACAGAGGGCGGCTAAACGTGCAGCTGCGAGGGCCATGGGGCGCTCCTTGTCTGAATTCAAGGAATGGGTGAGTTCGCCTGAGGCCACGTGGGGTTCTGCATGAGAATAACAAAGATTTACCAGAGGTTCAGGATGAGCTGCTCCATCATTGTGAATATCTGTTCCAGCCCAAGGATGTGATTGACGCCAGGGCCACCGAATGGCATGAGTTATGGTGTGATCCCGATTTCAGCATTGACGAAGTTTGCATCGCCTTCGCCAACGCGCGGGAATGGGCTCGAGCCCAGAGTCTCGCCCCCGTCGACGGCGACGACGCGCGGGAGGCGGCGTATATGATGAAAGCGAGGGCAGGTTTTGGCGTCGATCAACCCGACATTCAAGGGCTACCGTCAGAAAGGCACGACGCCCTCGCCAGCGTCCTCAATTCCGCGGAGGACAGCGGCGCGTGGCCGACGCAGTTCCATGTATTCCAGGACGCCTTCTACCCAAGACGGCAGGCGGAGACCGCATCGTCGCTTTGTTGCCCATTGCGTGCCGATTGTATACCTTCATCAGCGAATCCCACACCAAGCGCTGGTCAGCCGACGCAGCCACGGAGTGGGATGCAGCTGTTGCAGGCAATTCGGCGTTGTAGGAAGCGTTTCTAAAGGCGGTCGATCAGGAGCTGTGCGCCAATCTTGGAGTCTCAAGTGGGTGTGCGCTCCTGGACCTCAAGTCGTTCTACGACGTGATCAAGTGGAGTAAGCTTCCGAATGCAGCCGTTCGATTTGGGTTCCCAGGTATTGTTGCTGCTTGAAGTGCAATGATGTATGGCACCAAGGGTCATGGCTCGATTCGGAGCGCGTGCAGTGCCTTTCCAGCCCGCGCGCAGCATCGCTCAAGGATTGCGGAATGGAGTGCGATTTTGGGCTCGAACCAGTGGTCTGGATCTTCCCTGATAGCAGCGTCGACGGGCAGTTGGTTGATACTGGTGATTTCTTGTTTGATTTTGGACAGAGTTTGGATTGCCAGCAGTGGCAAGAAGCGGCTCAGTTGCATCATGGTACCAGCTGGGAGTACGGTGCTGACAATGACTCCTTACGACGGTTATTGGTGCGCCTCAGAGCTTGGCCGCATAGGCGGCAACTGGCAGAACTGATGCTTACCATGGGCACAGGAGGGTGCTGGGTGCGACGGCGAACATTTGATGTTGGTATTTGCCAGAGTAAAAGTTGCCCGCGGTGCCGAGAAGCACCAGAGGACATGCGTCATCGGGGATGGCGTTGCCCAGTAAGCACAGGAGCAACAGCTGATTCAGACTCCGACAGTTTGGTTCTCTCGGCATTGACTCAAGGAGACAGTAGCAGTTGCATGTGGTATCGAGGTCTCATCCCGAGGAGGCTGACCATGACACTGGCGCCTGCCACTACTGAGGATTGGGTTGGAGCTGATCTGATCGGCCAGTGTGTGGGGCCTGGGTGTCTTGGATCTGGAGCGGTAGGCAAACCGCTGCTGCTCTTCGGAGACGCTTCTGGAGGCCCCGACAGCAGGTTTCCTTCCCTGAGGCGCGTGGGTCTTGGGCTTGTGGTCATGACAGATCCTGTTTCTTTGAGTCTGGGGCCTAAGCTAGGGGGATCTCTCACGGGGCGGCTCCAAACCGTTCCGAGAGGAGAGCTGCGATGTTTGGCGATGGCCATTCGGTGTTTTGCAGGGCCCACATTATTCATCTCCGATAGCGATAACGTTGATCGAGGCCGGTACGCCAGACAGTATTTGTGCGAGAAGAAGAGTGCCATGAACGGACTGTGGGCAGAGATTGGAGAGTTGCTCCGACGACGAGACCCCGGTGAGATTGTGGTCCGTCAAGTACCGTCACATCTTGAGGCTCGTGAGGCCTGTGAAAGGAATATTCCAGGTTGGCTCATTCATGGTAATGAGGCGGCTCACGCCGTCGCCAACGATGCCGCCCTTAGGTGTGGGCTGCCTGAATCTGTTCGAGCTAAGGTTGTGGAGGTTGACGGGCGAGTTGCCCTGATTAGGCGGAGGCTTCTCAGAGCGACCCTCAAGGCCACGGTTGCGGAGCGCGAGGATGCGAAGATAGTCGCGCCTGACGCGCGCGACCGTGTCCCGTCGGTTCGTGCCCCGCCGCCGCCTCCCCCTGCTGCATTTGCCAGGTTTAGAAGTTCTCACACGCTTGGTGATTGTGTTTTTTCGCGCACTACGTGCCATAGTAGTGGTGCCAGAGCGATTCTCCAGGAATGGCTTGACTCTCCGTGCGCGCCTTTGCAGTTAGTTGGTTCTGCTATCTTTAAGGGGCCTAAGGGTAAGCTGCATCTAGCTGAGAGGTGGGCTCACGAATGTCATCGGATGTTGTGCCATCAGTCACTCAAGGTCTGGATCTGTGGGGCTTGCGGGTTTTCCTTCAGTCAATCTACAAGCGGGGTTCAGACAGGAGTGTCTTGGGTCGGACTGTCACAATGACACCAGGAAGTCATACCTTGACCGTTTCCCCTTAGGTGCCACCCCCCACGCCTTTAAGTGCTGCTGAAAGAGCTGCGCGTCATCCTTTTTCATTGACGTCGTCATGTTCCTATGTATGTATGTATGTATGTATGTATGTATGTGTGTGTATGTATGTATGTATGTATGTATGTATGTATGTATGTATGTATGTATGTATGTATGTATGTATGTATGTATGTATGTATGTATGTATGTATGTATGTATGTGTATGTATATATATAGTATCTCCTTCTCCTCCTCGTCCTCCTCTTCCTCCTCCTCCTCCTCCTCCTCCTCCTCCTCCTCCTCCTCCTCCTCCTCCTCCTCCTCCTCCTCCTCCTCCTCTCCTCCTCCTCCTCCTCCTCTCCTCCTCCCTCCTCCTCCTCCTCCCCCCCCTCCTCTCCTCCATCCTCCTCCTCCTCCTCCTCCTCTCCTCCTCCTCCTCTCCTCCTCTCCTTTCCCCTTCCCCCTTCTCCTCTTCCTCCGGTTACCCCATCTCCCCCTCCTCCTCGTCCTCCCTCGTCCTCGTCCTCCTCCTCCTCCTCGTCCTCCTCTTTCCTCTCCCCTCCTTCTCCCCCTCCTTACTCCCCCTACATCTCCCCCCTCGTCCTCCTCCCTCTTCCTCCTTGTCCTCCTCCTCCTCCTCCTCCTCCGCCTCCTCCTCCTCCCCCTCTCTTCCTCCGCCTCTCCCCCCCCTCCCTCCTCCTTTGTGTCTTCTCTCCTCCTCCTCCTCCTCCTCCTCCTCCTCCTCGTCCTCCTCCTCCTCTCACCCTTCTCGTCTTCCTCCTCCTCTTCCCCCTCGTCCTCCCCCTCCTCCTCCTTCCTCCTCCTCCCCTCCTCCCTCCTTCTCTTCCTCCTCCTCTTCCCCGTCCCCCTCCTCCTCCTCCTCCTCCTCCTCCTCCTCCTCCTCCTCCTCCTCCTCCTCCTCCATCCTTCTCCTCCTCCCTCCTCCTCCTCCCCCTCCTCCTCCTCTCCTCCTCCTCCTCCTCCTCCTCTCCTCCTCCTCCTCTTCCCCCCTCTTCCTCTTCCCTCTCCCCACGATGAAGTCCGAGCCCTATCCTGGCCGACCCACGATTCATGCAACTCGACGGGCGGCGGGCAGGGTTCGGAACGCGCCTTGCGCGTGGCGGAACCCGCATCCGACCCCCGCCTCCGATCGACTCAGGAGATCCGATGGTTGGTGGGGGTTCTGTCGGGATATCGCGGGAGCGGGGTGCCTCCTCCTCCTCCTCCTTCTCCTCCTCTTCGTCCTCCTTCTTCTGGTCCTCCTCCTTCTCCTCCTCGTCCTCGTCCTCCTCCTCCTCCTCCTCTCCTCTCCGATCGACTCAGGAGGTTCGATGGTTGGTGGGGGTTCGGTCCGCACGTCGCCACGGATCGGGAGCAACGGCGGGGGGGGGAGAGATGGGCTGCCCAGGGGGTGGCGCAACGGCCCCCCCGTCGCCTGCGGGTCGCCGGCAATGCGGGGCCTGGGTGCTACGCCCCGCCCAGGAGCATGTGGTTTTTCGCCATCTGGGGCCCCGTGTCCCTCTACAGGAGGAACATTCGAAAATGGTGGAAAAATAGTCTCGGGTAATTTTTGTTTCTTTCTGGAATGTTCTTGATCGATTTTTGGGTATCTTCAATTTTTTCGTCCAGATTCGGCCTGCAAGGGACATGCCCGACCTAAGCCTGTCGCCGATCGGTCGGCAGGCGGTCCGTAGAAGAAGAACGAACGGCTTCAACATGGACTCTCGAAGGTCCGTGCGGATTTCTTGGGTCTGCGCTGGGCCCTCGCGGCGGCGCCTCCGGCGCCATGCCCGGTGCGCCTCGCGCGCCAGGGGGCGGGGATCCAGCGCGGGTTCTAGAAATCCGCGCGGACGTCCGAACGGTTTTGCTATTGCCGTTTAGCTTGCTCCTCTAGGTCTAGGGCGTCGTCGTCGTCATCGGCGTCGTCGTCGTCGTCGTCGTCGTCGTCAGCGGCGTCGTCGTCGTCGTCGTCTTCGGCATCGTCGTCGTCGTCGTCGTCGGCGTCGTCGACTTCGTCGTCGGCCTCGCCGTCGGGACGAATTGTTTTTTTCGTTTATCGTTTTTTCCCTCGGCCTCGCTGTGCCTTGTCTGAAGGGATTCGGGGGGCCCTCGTCGCCACGGGTGGACGCAGCTCGGTAGTCTGGCAAGGATGGCGTCCAGGAGGAAGGTTTTTTGGGACCAGCTTCGAGCGGAATCTGTTTTTGGTGCGGCGTGCCGTCATCGCCGTCATCGCCGTCGTCGCTGTCATGGTCGCGGTCGTGGTCGTCGTGGTCGTCGTGGTCGTCGAGGTCGTCGTGGTCGTCGTGGTCGTCGTGGTCGTGGTCGTGGTCGTGGCGGTCGCCGTCGACGACGACCACGACCACGACCACGACGACGACGACGACGTCGTCGTCGTCGTCGTGACCCGCGTGGGTGCTGCGGCAGGCGGTCCAGGGCGCCGTCGCGGGCGCCGCCGCCGCGTCCAGGGCGCTGTCGCAGGTGTCCACGGAGTGCGGCCAGAGGATCGAGGAGCTCCGGGCAGGTGTCCCATTCGATGCCGGCATCGTCTTTCGGTTTGATCAGATTTGTTTTGTTCGGCGATCCGATGTGGCTCAATGCCTGCGTGGCGCAGCTGTGCATCCTGGCGCAGTCGTTCGATTCGGCTCAAGATCCCGCCGACCCCTGGAACATGTCTGGCTTCTGATTCCGTATTGCTGTTTGCCGCTTCCCGTCGTGCTGCTTGCGTGCGTTGTCGGGTTGTCCTCTTTTGCCTCCGCGTCCGTTGCGCGGCTTTTCGGGTGCCTCTCGGAGGCTTCGGGGGCGGCCTTGTGAGCGCCTTTTGAAGGCTCCTAGGGTGCCTCTTGGGGGCCTCTGGGGCTCATCTGTGGGGTCTTGAGGCCCTCTTCCATGGGCGGCGCTCCGGATCCTCTGCGAGCTCTCCCTCCTGGGCATCTCCTGGGCCCACGAGGGCCCTCTCGAGGGCCTCCTTGGCTGTCGTCTTGGGGGCCTCTCGGGCCGCCTTCGGGGCCTCCTGGAGCTGCCCCCCCGGGCCCTCTCTGGGGCCTCTCGGGGCCGTGATGTGCGGGCCCCTGGGGAGGGGGGGGGGCGCGTCGCAGGCCGCCCTGGGCCTGCAGGCGGCCCGGATGGCCAGAGCGCGGCGACGTTCCGAGACCTGCGGAACAGCAATGGCTTTTTGCCTCCTCCTCCTCGTCCTCCTCCTCCTCCTCCTCCTCCTCCTCGTCCTCCTCTTTCCTCTCTCCTCCTTCTCCCCCTCCTCACTCCCCCTACATCTCCCCCCCTCGTCCTCCTCCTTCTCCCTGTGCTCCTCCTCCTCGTCCTCCCACTCCTCTCTTCCCGGGGCCCCCTCGTGGGGTTCTCTCTTTTTGGGGTCCTCTCGAGGCGTCTTGCCGCCCTCGTGGGCCGCGTGGGGGCCGCCCTGGGTGCTCCTGGAGCACAGGTCGGGCGTGCCGGCGCAGTTCTCGAGCCGTCTCGGAAGGCGTCCAGGGCCTCTGGGAGGCCACGGGTGGTGGACCTGGAGGCTCCGAGGGGCCCCGAGAGGTGCGCGGGGGAGTTCGTGGGGAGACCCCCTCCTGCAGACGAGCTCGTGGACCCTCAAGGAGGGGGGAAGGGTGTAGTGACGAACCAACAACACACACCCATACCCATAGGGGGGTCGGAGAGGGCTATGGGTGCGTGTTGTCGGATGGGGGTCCCCGCTCGAACGGGAGCCTCCCCAGGGGTCCGACAACCCGCACCCATACCCATAGCCAGTCCTTCTCCCTCCGACTTCCCCATGGGTATGGGTTTGTGTTGTTCGTTCATCATGTAGCGGGACAGCCAAATGTTTCATGTGCCTCCATCCCCAGCAAGCGGGGGTTGGCGGATTTCGACTCCGCGCCGATGCCGCTCCCGTCCGATGTCCGCTCCGAGCTCCGACCCGCTCTGGTCCCGCTTCCCGCGCCGATCCGCTCTCCGGACGCGGCCCCGACCCGATCCCGATGCGGCCTCGGACCCGACGCGCGCTCCGATCCGATCTGGCCTCCCGAATCCATGCCGGCCGATCGAGGGGCGGGCGCGGCATCGGCATGGGCGCTCGGAGGAGCCTGCGCGGGTCGGCGCGGGGGCGGCGCTGGGCTCCGCTGCCTCGCCGCTCGGCGCCCCTGCGCGCGCAGGGGGTGGGGTGCGGGGAGGGGCGCCCAGCGCCGGCCCGAGGAGTCGGCGCGGGAGGCCGCGCGTACCTCCCGAGGCTGATGCTCCTGCGGTTTTTTTTTGCCGCTCCTTGGCGTCGCGAGGCCTGCTGGCCATGGCCTCGATCAAGCCGCAGAGGCCCCGGACCATCCTCCCTCCTGTCTCCTCGCCCCTCCTCTCTCCCTATCTCTCCGTTTCATCTTTTTCTTCCGCCCTCCTCCTCCTCCTCCTATTCCCTCTTCCTCCTCCTCCTCCTCCTCCTCATTCTCTCCTCTTCCTCTTCCTGCTCCTCCTGCTCCTCCTGCTGCTCCTCCTGCTGCTCCTCCTCCTCCTCCTCCTCCTCCTCCTCCTCCTCCTCCTCCCCTCCTCCTCCTCCTCCTCCTCCTCCTCCTCCTCCTCCTCCCCTTCCTCCCCCTACTTTCGACTTATTCTCTTCCTCCTCTCATCCCCCTCCTCTTCCTCCTGCTCCTCTTCGTCCTCCTCTCTTCTCTCTCCTCTCTTCTCTCTCCTTTCTTCTGTCTTCTTTTCTTTTTTGCAAGTGCTGAATGTGAATACTACCCTCCTCTCTCCCCCAAAGTTGTCCGGGGTGTGGTCCCGCCCCCTCCGCATATTCCCCAAACATTGCTTACATGTGTTCAAGGACCTGGGCCTGGCTGTTGGTTCCGCCGCCTTGTGACCGCCGCCGCGGCCCGTCGCCGCTCGTCGCCTAGGCTTGGCTTGTCGGTTCCGCCGCTTTGTGGCCGCCGTCGCCGGCTCATCGCCACCCGTCGCCGCCCTTCGTCTTGGCCCGACTGTCGGCTTCGCTGGTCCGCCACCGACCCTGCGGAGGAGATCCTCAGTAGGGCAGGCTGGGCCATCGTGCAGTACAGCGACGGAGGCCAGATGCTAGGAGCGGTTCACTGGCGTGGGGCCCGCTGCAGCTGGCGAGGGACGGCGAGGACTACGCGTTCCAGTTTCTCTCGGGCTGCTTCCAAGCGCCGCTGGAGGTGTTCAGCGACTGCACGGGCTCGATCCGACAGGCGACGGGCATTGGCACGGCGCTGGCGAAGGCAACAGCGAGGAGGCACCCATGGAAGCGGTAGTGGAGCGAGCTCGGAGGCCATGACGAGGTGCTGGTGACGAAAGCCAAGGCGCACAGGTCGAAATCTGAGTGCGTGAGGGAGACTGAGAGGTGGACGCGGGAAAGTAGAGAGGAGGCGGACCGGTGCGCCAAGGAAGGGGCGAGTGCGTGGGCCAACTGGCCCGAGCGAGGACTGGCGGCTGAAGGTGTTCGCTCCCTGGCGAAGCAGACTGCAAGATGGATCGGTCACTCGTCGGTCTGGTGGCAGTCGCAGGCGCCAGACGCGGAGGGAATCCCGAGCGAGACGATGATCGAGCTGGACGAGTTACCATCGGACCTGAAGGAGGCCATCGGCGAGGCCAAGGAGGAGGAGGAGGAGGAGGAGGAGGAGGAGGAGGAGGAGAAGGAGGAGGAGGAGGAGGAGGAGGAGGAGGAGAGGAGGAGAGGGCAGGAGGAGGAGGATGATGAGAGGAGGAGGACAGGAGGAGGAGGAGGAGGAGGAGGAGGAGGAGGAGGAGGAGGAGAGGAGGGGGGGGAAGGGGAGAGGGAGGGGAGGGGGAGGGGGATGATGCTGCTGCTGCTGCTGCTGCTGATGATGATGATGATGATGGTGGTGGTGATGATGATGATGATGATGATGATGATGATGATCATGAAGACGATGATGATGATGATGATGATGATGATGATGATGATGATGATGGTGGTGGTGATGATGATGACGATGTTGATGATGATGCTGATACTGATGCTGCTGCTGCTGATGATGATGATGCTGATGCTGATGATGATGAGGAGGAAGAGGAGGATAAGGAGGATGATGATGATGATGATGATGATGATGATGATGATGATGATGATGATGATGATGATGATGATGATGATGATGATGATGATGATGATGAGGAGGAGGAGGAGGAGGAGGAGGAGGAGGAGGAGGAACAACCATAGGGGATCAGGAGGAGGAGGAAGAGGAGGAGACGGAGGAGAAGAAGGAGGAGGAAGAGACTGAGGCCAGCCAAGAGAGGAGCAGGCAAACTGCAGGTGAGGAGCCTGAGGGAGGGGAGCTTGGGCCCATCACGCGCTGGATGGACCACCACGTTGGGCGAGTGCGTCAGCGAGCAGGGCGAGCGCGGGCTGGCCTGCAGGAGGTGTGGCGCGACGGGGGCCCAGGGCCGCTTGCGGGGCACGAAGAGATGAGGAGAGCGCAAGGGCTGCAAGAAACAGCCGGGGAGTCTGAGCAAGGGGCCCCGCCCGCTGCCATCGAATAGGGCCTGCAGTTGCGACCCCCTCGACGGGGCCAACGGGGACCTCTGGCAGGAGCTGGAGGAGGTCGCAGGGGGCCAGCTGGAGAGGCAGGGGGAGGAGCCCAATGAGCTGGCGCGCTGAGGCGGCGACGCCCCAGGGCGAGGAGGGGCGGCGTATGGCAGCACGTTGTCGGAAAAGCCGCTCCCGGAGGTCGTGAAGGTCTGCGGAGTGGACGAGGGCCGCCTCCTCGCGCTCGGGGGGCGAGCGCGGGAGGTTGAGGCGGAGGCGGACAGAGAGGAGGCTGAAGGCCGCGCGGGAGAGGCGGCGACGACGGCGAGCTCAGGGCCTCGCTCTGGGAGGGGGGCGGGAGGCCGAGGCCGAGGCGCGGATGGGGCGCCGTGCCCCGGGCTGCCGAGCGAGGCGGGGCGGCCAGAGGAGGCAAGCGCGGGGGGCGCGCTGAGGAGGGGGCCTGCGCGGGGGCGCGCGGGCCCAACGAGGCGCGGTGAGGCGCCTGAGCAGCCTGCGAGGCAGGGGACCTTCAGAGGTGGAGGAGGTGGGCTGGGCGACGTGCGTGCACCGCCCGCGCGCCGCCGCCCGCCGCGGCGGGCGGGCTCTTAGCCTGCCCGCGGCGACGTCGAAGCACGTCGAAGTATGACAGTCGGTTTCGCCGCCTTGTGGCTGCCATCGCCGCCTCGTCGCCGCCCGTCGCAGCCCCTCGTCTGGGCCTGTCTGTCAGTTCCGCCACGTTCTGGCCGCCGTCGCCGCCCCGTCGCCGCCCGTCGCCGTCCCCGCGTGTTTTCGCCACGTAGGTTTTCTTTCCTCAGCGGAGAACAGACACCGCCAGCCTCCCGTGGCCGGGCATACCCGCCTCCTGGGATATTGCACAGTAGACACGCGTGTGCACCATCGTTCATTTTTGCAATTGAACTCAGACCAGCCCACGGGATACCCTTGTCGCTCTTTATCCCTGTCAAGTAATTCTATGCGCGCGCATTCGTTCAGCAATATGAAGAGTCCTTTGCCAAAGAAATGGCAAGTCCACGCGCGCGCACGGTGCCGCGGGTGCATGTCGAAACCCTCTCAAACCCGAGTTTCGTATGAATTGTCGCGTCGGCACTCCCGAAAACCGATGAAGAACCAATGGTTTGTTATTCAAGTTGTATTTCCCAAGCATCAGCGCGCGCTCTCTTGCGAGTTCTTTGGGCAACCAAGCGTCTTTCAAAATTTTGTTCACATGAGACCACGCGGGTTTGTCGTGCGCGCGTGTCGAAATCGTTCGGACGCCCTTGCGCGATTGCGGGGGGGGGGGTCCTTGTCTTGTCGCATGCAATGCCATGCTGCTGGCCACACGCGGGATTCGGCCGCGCGCGCATATCGATTTTTCCTCAACATATCATCAGTACTCATGGACATGATCATCTTCATCGGGGTTGCCAGCATCGGCGCTGTCATTGACCTTGCCGTCGTCATCACCCGTGATCATCGAGCTTCGACCTTCCTCCACCTCCTCGTCCTCTGCTCCCTTCTATTGCTGGTCGTCGTCCTCCTCCTCATTCTCCTCCGCCTTCCCTCTGGCGGCTTAGCCAAAAAGCAGCAGCAACAGCAGCAACACCAGCAGCAGCAAGGCTACACCATGAGCGCGCGCGCGGCAGAAACGGCAGCAGAAACGGCTTGGCAACAGCAGAGCCAACAAGATCAACGGCAGGCAGCAGGAACAGCAGCGGAGGCACTAAACATAACCAAACTTGGGAGGTGCAGAGGCAGCAGGCAGCCATAGGCGGCACAACTGGCAGAGCCAATAGCAGCAGCACCGAAGCAGGCAGCAACGGACCGCGCGTGGCGGCGGACGGAGCCGGCGCGCTGCCAGCGGCGTCGGCGGGCAGAGATCGGCGTGGTGGTGGTGGTCCGCGCGGCCAGCGCGGGCAGGGAACGCGCGGCGGATGAAACGCACTGAGAGTCGTATGGTATATAGCACCATGGGCTGAGCTTTCTGGGTAGAATCAGGAGGGAGAAAAACACACGGACACAATTCATCGCCGATTCCCCAGGAAGTATGGGAAAGCATGGGGAAACCCAGGACATACGGACAACCATGGGGAATCCCGTTCTTAGTGTCCACTTATTTGTGTGTGCCCCAGGGCCCCTTCATCACCACCCACCAAACCACCCCAACCCAACCCGAAGACTCAGATTTACCCTCGATTTCTAGTGGGGGGGGGGTCCGGGAACATCGAAAAAACACGTATGGAGCCCATACCCCCCCAACCCGAAATTCGGGTCTTCGGGTTGGGTTGGGGTGGTCTGGTAGGTAGTCACTTCATAGAATCATCGACAGCAGGCGCCTGTATGACCAGCAGGAGCAGGAGCCGCAGAAGGCGGGGCGCGCCCGCCCTGCGCGGCGAGGAGCTGAGCCGCCGTGTCGGCGCGCTGGCCCAGGCCGCCGGCCGCCCCCCCGCTCGGCCGCTCGGCGCGCCGCCCCTGCCGCCGCGCGGCGGCGCCCTCGCGGCCTGCCGGCGCCCCGCCATCGCAGGGCCCTCCTCCCCCCTCCTCCTCCTCCTCCTCCTCCTCCTCCTCCTCTCCTCCCCCTCCTCCTCCCCCTCGTCCTCCTCCTCCTCCTCCTCCTCCTCCTCCTCCTCCTCCTCCTCCCCCTCCCCTTCCTCCTCCTCCTCCTCCTCCTCCTCCTCCTCCTCCTCCTCCTCCTCCTCCTCCTCCTCCTCCTCCTCCTCCTCCTCCTCCTCCCCCATCGCTCGATGTCGATGTCGGCCGCCACGCGTCGGCTCGGATCGGACAGCCCAAGGATCCCATGCGGCCCGACGCCTGCGTGGGCGCTGCCGTGCCGCCCGGCGCAGCCGGTTCCGATCCGATTCGATGCGGAGTCCGTGCCGATTCGGCCCGCCTTGTCCGGCGCACATTTCGATGCGTCGGGAGCCTCGAGACGGGGGTCAGTGCAGACGGGGGTCAGCCAGAGCGCCGGATCTTGCAGGATCCTGCAGCGCCAGGGTCGCATTGACCCGGGTTTGGGTGCAGGATCCTGCAGGATCCTTCGCATTGACCCGGGTTTGGGTGCAGGATCTTGCAGGATTTTGCAGGCCTGATGGACCCGGGTCTGGATTGACCCGGGTCAGAAGATCCCCGAATGCGATCCGATCCGGTTTTCCCGATTCGGTGCTGACTGATCTTGCCTTGGCCTGGCTACCATAGTCGGCCTCGTTAGTTCGCTTCTCCGGGTATCGAGGGCTTTTTCTTTTGCGCGGGCCTCCACGGGCCAAGGCAGGTGCAACGTCAGGGGCGGAGTGGCTTAGGGGGGAAGCGTCGACCCCCCCTATCGGGGGCCTAGTAACCCACCCAGGAATGCATCTTTTTGCTGTTGGGGGCCTATGGCCAGTCTATCAGCGATGTATCGCCGATTCAAGCTCGGAGCCCCCTCCCTCCCCCCCGAGCTGGTCTTCCGGCCCGTCGTTCCCCCTCACCTCTGGAGGCAGCCAGCGACCTCCGCAGACCTCTGGGGGCTCGGCGGTGCCCCAGGATTTTTGCTGTTTCGCTTTCGGTTGGCTTTCGCAGATTTTTCGTCGATGCACCGTCGATTCCAGGTCGTGTTTTTTTTCCTTGAGCCAATGGCCCCCCTTGCGCCTCCCCGCAAGAGGATGAGGATGATGATGATGCTGCTGATGATGATGGTGAGGATGATGATGCTGATGATGCTTATGTTGCTGCTGCTGCTGCTGATGATGATGATGATACTGATGCGGATGATGATGATCATGATGGTGGTAGTGGTGATGATGGTGGTGGTGGTGATGATGATGATGGTAGTGGTGATGATGATGGTGGTGATGATGATGGTGGTGGTGATGCTGATGATGATGCTACTGTTGCTGATGATGATGCTGATGATAATGATGCTGATGCTGCTGATGCTGCTGATTATGATGCTGATGCTGATGCCGATGCTGATGACCGATGGCGGAGGTGCGGAACTTTACCAAGGCGGCACCTCCACCCCTGACCCTTCGGCCAGTCTTCGGCCATGGACCCTGGCCCTGAGGTTGCTGCCCTGATGTCGCTGCACTCGTCCACGCGCGAGCGACGTACAGCAACAAGCTGGGGGGGGGACTGCGCGGACACCGGTGCGCAAGCTGCCCGCGCAAAGGCCGCCACGCGCGGTGTGCCTCGCGGATGGTCCGTGCGAGACTCCGCACGAGGGCCACCGTGCCCTCGCGCGCAGGGGGCGTCTTCTTCTCCCTTCGTCGCTCGCGAGTGCATCCAAGGGGCCCCGAACTCACAGATGAGCGTTGGGGGAGCGCCACCCTCGCTGACGGCCCCGAGTCCATCCTCATCGCGCATGTCCGCCGCTCGCCGAAGGCGCTCCACCGTGCGGTACGGTGCGCGGATGAGGCGAGGTTGACTTGGTGCAGAGGCCGACGACATCCTCGGCTTCCGCTGGCCTGCGTTGGAACGCGGTTGCTCGTGCACGTGGGACCGCGCAGGGCGTACACCTTAGGCGATGCTTAAGAAAACTTAAGTTTTCGGCCAGAGTCTCGATTATTCTTAATGTTTCAATGTGAATCCTAACATTTTAATCGGCATGTTGGGTTTTTTATCCAAATTCTGAGACTCTGAGTTTCTTAACCCATGATTTCTTAAGCATTTCGCAGGGTGTACATGTGCGTATGCCTCTTTTTCTCATTGGCCCCCCTCGGGGGGCCCCCTCCCAGCGCCTGCCTGTTCGTCGTTTCGCGCTGTTTTTTCTAGCCATCGCGGCCCGATCTATCTCATAAGCGCCCTCCTGTCTCGAGGGTCGAGCGGCTTCCCCCGGCACCTGTCCTATTTTTTCTCCAGAGTGCGGGCCGACGCCGAATAAACTCCCAACGCATATACACCTTAGGCGATGCTTAAGAAAACCTAAGTTTTCGGCCAGAGTCTCGATGATTCTTAACGTTTCAATGTAAATCCCAAGATTTTTAATAGAAATTTGGGTTCTTATTCAAGTTCTGAGACTTTGAATTTCTTAACCCATGATTTCTTAAGCATTTCGCAGGGTGTATTCTATTTTCTCCAGAATGCGGGCCGAAGCCGAATAAACTCCCAACGCATGTATCCGTCATGCTTCTGTGGTAGGTTCGTGTGGTATCGACGCGGTTGAGATCCCAGCGCGGGTGTTCGAGGTTGAACGCGGCCAGTGGCCCGGACTGGGCCGGGATCGAGCGACTGCCAGGAAGCGCCGGTCGTTCCAGGTGGAGCGGTTCACGCGGTCTGAAAAGCCAATGTCGAAGCCGACACGGCATGAAGCTGCCGCACCCTCATCATCCGGAACGACGGGCATTGCCGAGCGTGTCAGCGCCTCCCGTGCTCACTGCCATGCGGGCCTCGACACCGCAGCTGCCCCCGCCTCTCCTCACAGGCGGAGCAGCAGCGCCAGGCCGACGCGCAGGCGGCGCCCCGCTCCGCGCGCCCGGCCGGCCCTTCCTCGGGTCCGCGAGCGTCAGGGGCAACGACAGGGGGCGATAGGCATACACCCTAGGCGATGCTGAAGAAATCTTACGTTTTCGGCCAGAGTCTCGAATATTCTTAATGTTTTAATATAAATCCTAAGCTTTTCATAGACATTCTGGGTTTTTATTCAAATTCTGAGACTATGAATTTCTTAACCCATGATTTCTTAAGCATTTCGCAGGGTGTAGGGTGGGTGCATCGACCCCCAATCGCCCATGGATCGCCGGTAGGTAGCCGACAGCCCCGACCTGCCCAGGATCGTGCGGATCCACTATCGGGGGCTCACCGCCGGTCTATCGGCGACGTGCAGTCAACGCGCCCAGTAAGGGCGCGCGCCTTCATCTAGGGTAAGCTCGTGTCCTTGTCTCTGCGGCCTGACCTTTGCCGTTTTCGCTGGTCGCCCGCCGCCGGCATCCGGGGGTCTTGCGTCCTTTGCCACCCGTCACTGATGCTCGCTTTGACCGCATCGCCGGCTCCGCGTCGATGCGTCCCCGCCCACTCTCACCGCCCACCAAACCACCCCAACCCAGCCCGAAGGCCCCGACCTTCCCTCCATTTTCCGTGTGTGTGTGTGTGTGTGTGTGTGGGCGGTCGTGGATCGGGCCGACGAAAGGGGGGGATAAGGAAGTGGGGGGTTACGAAATCTGCTGCTTGCAGCTGGTTTCGGCCCCGCCGCCGGCCCCATTCCGCGACACGCGGGCGCCTCCTGGCGCTGGGAGGCGCTGAGAGCATCAGCTACGTGAGCTGACTCTGTACCCTGCCCTTTGCTATCCCCCCCTTTTTGTCCCCGCCGAGTGGAACGTATGAAAAAACGCATACGAAGCCCGTATGCCTCCCAACCCAAAATTCGGGTTTTCGGGTTGGGTTGGGGTGGGCCCCTCCGTCAGGAGGGAAAAAAACACAGACACAATTAATCGGCGATCCCCAGGAAAATATAGGGAAATATGGGAAGTGGGGGGGAAGACAAAAACCCAGAAAAGATGGGAAAATATGGGGAATGTTTTTATTTGTGTGTATTTATTTGTGTGCTTGTGGGCCTCTTCAGTATCCCTCCCAGCCCGAAAGTCGGGTTTCCGGGTTGGGTCGGGGTGGGCCCCTCCAGAGCGGCGATGGCGCCGCGGCGCCGCGCGCCTCGCTCCTTGGGGCGGCGCCGAGGGCTCCTATAGACCTTTCTTGGGGCCTCCTCCGCGGTGCCCCAGAGGTCTTTTGGGGTCCTCCTCTTCCTCCTCCGCGGTGCCCCAGAGGTCTAGGGGACCCCGACAGTTGGCGTTTACTCGACGGTTGGGCGCTGCGTAATGGGGGATCATGAATGGGGGGGCGGCGAGTGTGGTCCGAAAAGGTACCCAAACGGTACCTGAACGAGCCCCCTGGGGCTCTGGAGGGGCCCGAAAGGGGCACGAAAGGGGACCTTTTCTGACCCCCCCATTTGTGACCCCCCCCATTAAGCCACGCCCAAGACGGACCTGGGCGTTGGCGAAACAGCCCAGCCCCGGTCGATTCCTTCCCTGGGTGCATTTGCCAGACGGCCTCGCTTGCCGGGGTGCTTCTGATCGGGGGTGGATCCCCTGCTCTCCAGGAGAGCGTCAGTATCGTTTATCCGATCCCCATCCCCATCCCCATCCCCTTCGAGACCCCCAGCAAATTGCCACCCCAGTAGGGGACACACCTCTCGAAACCCGAAGGGAACGGCCTATATCCCCATCTAAAGGGAACGGCCTAAATCCCCATCTAGGGGGATACATCGGCCAGTGGGGCCCAGGCCACGCCGCTGGGGATGGGGGTCGGATACACGAGAGCCCGCCCGCCGCCGAGGGGTCGGCGCCGAGGCGCCACGTTTTTATCGGGGCTAGGGTTAGGTCGGGCAGGTCTCCCTTCAGGCCGATGTTTGACGAAAAATAGAAATACCCAGAAGAGATTCAGAAACAGCTATAAAAACAGGCTCAAAAAATCGTGCCCTGACTAATTTTTGACTATTTTGGGGCTCCTCGACCCTCCATGCCGGAAGAGAGGCAGACCGAAGCAACAGTGGGCTTCGTGTGTTTACAAGCTTCTGCCACAACAGTGGTCCTGAGGTGGTCCCTCCCCCTTCTCCGTTCCCTCCTCCTTCCGCCCCCTCCCTTCCTCCCCCTCCTCCCGCGTGGCGCCGATACGTTTTTCAGGTGAATTCGTATCCTTCTCGCTGCCCGCGCTGCCCGCTGCGGGGGGTCGGCTGCACGAGAGCCCGCCCGCCGCCGAGGGGTCGGCGCCGGGGGGGGGGGGCGCGCCTCGCCGGCCCGCGGCCCGGGCTCCCCGCCTCGGGCCCTGGGCCGGAGCGCGCCCCTTCGGCCATGGCGGCCATGGAGGGTCAGTCAGTCGAGCCTGGCGCACAGACGGCGCACTGGCAAGATGAAGAGTTCTGCGCGTGGCAGAGAAATGCGGGCAGCGAGAAGGATACGAATTCACCTGCAAACGTATCGGCGCCACGCGGGAGGAGGGGGAGGAAGGGAGGGGGCGGGAGGAGGAGGGAACGAAGAAGGGGGAGGGACCACCTCAGGACCACTGTTGTGGCAGAAGCTTGTAAACACACGAAGCCCACTGTTGCTTCGGTCTGCCTCTCTTCCGGCATGGAGGATCGAAGAGCCCCCAAATAGTCAAACAATAGTCAGGGGACGATCTTTTGAGCTTCTTTTTTTATAGCTATTTCTGAATCTCCTTTGGGTATGTTTATCTTTCGTCCAAAATCGGCCTGAAGGGAGACCTGCCCGACCTAGCCCTAGCCCCGATGAAAACGTGGCCTCACTGAGGTCCCCGTCTTCGCATAATGTAGGGACAAAAGGTCCGGGCGGTTTGGTTCGATCCATCTGCAGAGCAGGCTCCCCATCCCTGATGCTCCTGGCCCTCCTAACTTAGGTTTTCTCCCACAGGGTCAGGAGTCCTTTTTCTGGTGAGTCATTCGGGGCGTGCCGGGGCTTTGCGGACCCGGGCCAATCAAGGCCCGTGTCAGTCAGACCTTGCATTAAGTCGGGCTTGTCCCTCTACAGGGGGACTATTCAAAACTAGTTAAAAAATAGTCTGAGTATTATTGTTTGAGTATTTTTTTGACCATTTTGGATTTTTTTGTGGGTATTTTTAATTTTTCGTCGAAAATCCCTCTGTAGGGGGACACGCCCGACTTAAACCTTGCAGGATCCTGCAGCCCTCAGATCCTGGCGCCTCCATTTCTCGGGGACCCTCGCGGAGCGATCCGGTTCGAAAAATGGCGCAGGAGGATGGGGCCTCGGGTTAAGTCGGGCCTGCCCCTCTACAGGGGGAATACTCAGTCTGGGTACTATTTTTTTTGACAATTTTCAAGCATTTTGGGAGCATTTTTTGAGTAGTTTCAATTTCTCGCCCAAAATCCCCCTGTAGGGGGACAGGCCCGACCTCAGTCTCGGGCTCCGGGCGTGATTTCTACCGATGTCTCAATTTTTTCGCGCCGTCGGATCTCAGGGAAGATCCTGCAGGATCTTGCATGATCCTGCATCCAAGCCCAGGTCAGAGCGCCCCTGGCCCTGCAGGGTGCTGCAAGATCCAGGGCCCTGACGGACCCCCATCCCACCATCATAGGGGGATGCGAAGTCCCTGGAGACGGGACGGGGTGGGCATGGCTTGGCATCATAAGCTGGCCCACTACCAAACAACACATCATAGCTTCTACGTCAGTACACAAGACTGATTCACCGACGGATCCAACTCATCTTCCATTCATTGGCATCAAGCTCATTCGAAGCAGCATGCCCTCCGCGTCCCTCGGGCTCCGAGCGTGTCGGGGTGGACCACGTAAGAGGGACCTCTCGCCAGAGTGACCTTGTGGTGCAGGCCCACGGGGTTTCCCCGATGGCCGAATGCTATGCGACAGTTGCGTCTTGCACGCTCGGACTTGGCCCCCCGCGGCTCCCCGAAAGCCGCGCACCAGCGGTCATTCTTGCCCTTGGCCACTCTTGCGTGCAGCCGACGGGGGGGGGGGAGCCGAAACCCAGGGTTTTGGCTCGAGGCCGGGGCGCTGCCAGGAGTGCCCCCGGGCCCCAGGTTGCGCCCAGGATCTCCGAGGCGGCCCCCAGAGGGCCCCTCACGAGGCCCAGACGGGCCCGGGAGGCTCCCGAATCGAGCGAGAGGCTGGGGGCACCTGGGGGCCGGGGGCACCTGGAGCTGGGGCCCAGGACGGCTCGAAGCTCGGGGGCCATCGCTGCTCGCAGCCGTGGCCGCGGGGGACCCCCAGGAGGTCCCAGGGGGAGCAAGCACGTTCTCATCTCCGCCTCCCAGGATGCTTCGCATTGGTAGTTCGCTCGCTCGCGCGCTCCCTGGAGGCCTCTGGACCTGTTTCTGGAGGTCCTTCGCTATCCTTCCTTCTACGCCCCACCCCCGTCGAAGCGCGCTTGGGGGGTGCGCCGAAGGCACCGCGCGCGTTCCAGACTTCTGGTGACTCGGTACTTCTATTTCATAGCGCTGGAAGACCCCAGGACCGTAAGCAAGAGGAGTCGGACGAAGAGTGAGTCCCCGGGAAGGGGTCGGAAAAGGTAACGACGCTGGACGTGTAGGGGTGGCCGGGGGCCAGGCGGAGAAACTGTCTCCGCGGCCGCCTAAAGTTTACGTTTCTATGATTTGTTGGCGTCCTGGGTTTTCTTGGGCTGTCTGGGTGCCCTCTTGGGGCCCTGTTGAGCTCGCTGGGGGTCATGCCCGACGCTTTCTTGGGCCGTCCTCGTTTCCTTGGAAGTCTTTGGGGTACTCTTGGGACGCCTGGGCCAGGGCCCGCCGTCTTTCTCGGCGTCCTTGTTCTTGTGCTTCACTGTACGTGGCCGCGCCCTTAGCCTGGGAGGAGGAGGATGGGGAGGAGGAGGATGAGGAGGAGGACGAGGAGGAGGGAGCAGGGAGGAGGAGGGAGGGAGGGAGGGAGGGAGGGAGGGAGGGAGGAGGAGGGGAGGAGGGAGGAGGAGGAGGAGGAGGAGGAGGAGGAGGAGGAGGAGGAGGAGGAGGAGGAGGATCCAGAGACCCCGGTCCCCAGGGACCTTCGCGGGCCCCTCGGACCCACAACCCCTGAACATCGCCCCAACAGACCCTGGCCCCCAGAGGAGGCCACCCGAGGCAGGGCGCGCGACCTGGCCACCGCCGCCGCCGCTTGAGCTGTCGCCGCGGCCACCCGACGGCCTGCGGTGGCCACGGCCGCCCGCCGCCGCCGCCGCCGCCGGCTGTCGGAGCCCCCGCGCGCCTGGGAGGACGCTACGCTCGGCCTGGGCGAGCGCCTTGAGGAGCTCGGCCGGCGCGCGAGCGCGCCGCCGCCGTCTCTCTCGCCGCCGCCGCCGCCGCCGCCGACATCGCCGCCTTTGTCGCTGTCGCTGTTGCCGCCGCCGTCGTCGTCGTCGTCGTCGTCGTCGTCGTCGTCGTCGTCGTCGTCGTCGTCGTGTTTGTATTCGTCTTCGTCTTCGTATTCGTCGTCGTATTTGTCGCCGCCGCCGTCGTCGCCGCCGAGGGAGCGTCTCTGTGTTTGCCGTCCTCGCCGTCACCGTCGCGAGCGCCTCGAGGAGCTCGACCGGCGCGTGCGGCTGCTCGCCCGGGACGACGGGCACGACGTCAAGCTGACGCAGCAGCGGGAGGCGGGCCTTCGGGGGCCTTGCGAGGGCTCTTTGGCGGCCGATGGCGGCCCGCGCTGGCTTCTGGCAGCCCTCGGCGGCCATTTGTGGGCCTCCGCAGGCCTCTGCGGAGGCTTTTCGGGGGACCTCAGAGACCTCAGGATACCTCCTGCAGCAGTGGGAGCTCCTGGGGAATCTCAGGGACGTGACCTCGGAGACGCCCAGGCCGCCTAGATGGGGCAAGAGCTGGTTTGGTCGCAGAATCGCGCCGCGGCAGTGCGGCGCGATCCGAAGCCCGATTCCGTCTACCCCGACGTCGCCGAGGCATCGCCGCATCGGAGATGCGGTGCGATCTTCCGAGCCCCCTTCTGGCCCCGTCTGGGCGGCCTCCGGCGGGGGACTCGCGGCGCTTTCGGCCTCGGGGCTCCCCGCTCCTCCTCGGCATGGCGAGGGGGGTGCTCCCGAGCGCTCCCGGGGGACCCCCGTGGCGCTTCCCGGGTGAGCGACGCAGGAAGACCGGGGTCGTCTGCGACGACGCTGGTAGGGGGCCACTTGCGAACCCTACCCCTACCCCACACGATTTCTGAGGGGGAGTGTGGGGGGCAGGGGTAGGGTTCGCATGTGGCCCCCCTGGTTGGCGCGGAAGCTGCTCGCGTAAGTGGCGCTCCCCAGCGCTTCCGGGCGCTCCTGGGCGCGCCACCCAGGCGCGCGCCGTCCTCGGCCTTTCTCGGGGTCGCTCCCGTGAACCCCGGGGCCGTCGGAGCACGACCACGGCACCGAGTTTCCCGAAGCGTCGCTCGGCGGCGAGCGAGGGGGGGAAGTGAGAAGGAGACGGCCTTCTCAGAAGGCTCGGAAGGCCCCCGGCCTTCTGTCGAGAGAAGTTTTCGGAGCCTTCCCCGAAGACAGAGGGACGACTCCTCGGAAGGCGCGAGGGCTTCTGAGGAGTCCCGCCGCCTTCTGAGAGGGCCTCCTCCTTCCTTCGTCTTCCCCACCTCGCTCGCCGCCGAGCAGAAGCATTGACCTTCGGAGGGGTCCCCGCGCGGAGTTCTGGGGTCGGTTCGCCCGAGAGCGCCCTTCGCCCGGCCTTGCCGAGCGCGCCGGGGGGGCGGCGCGCCGCTTCACCCGCGGCGAGCGCGTCCACGTCCACGCCCTCGCGGTCTGGACTCCGGGAGGCGACGATGGGGGCGAGTAGCCCAGGGGGAGCAATGCACGTAGCCAGGGGCGCCGATGATCCGTGTCTTCGACAAGGCTCCCGGGCGAACGCGTGTACTGTCCGCCCCTTGGGCTACTCGCCCCGATCGTCGCCGCCGATGGGTTCCAGGAGCGGCAAGCGTGTCCGTGTCCACGCCCTCGCGGTCTGGACTCCAGGAGGGGGAACAAAAACAGAGACACGATGCATCGTTGACTCCCCGGAAAGTGTGGGAAAGATAGTGGGAAAAGAGGGGGGAAGACGAGAAAATCCAGAAAGTGTAGGAAAGTGTGGGAAATCCTGGGAAGCCGTGGGGAAGACGGACAGAACATGCAGGAAAGTGTGGGGGGAATCCTGGGATCCGTGTCGATTCTTAGATGTGTGTCCCAGGGCCCCTGCATGGACTCCCGGGCGCGAGCCCATGTGTGCGCAGTCGCAGGGATGCATTCCTCTCTATCGCGTCGCGCGGCAGAGGGGCCCAGCCCGCCAAGGGCGTGGATCTCTGTCGTTCCTCGGCCCATGAGCTCCATCCACGCTGGTCCTCCTCCTCCTCCTTTTCCTCCCTCCTTTTCCTCCCTCCTCCTCCTCCTGCTTCTCCTCCCTCCTCCTCCTTCTCCTCCTCCCTCCTCCTCCTCCTCCTCCTCCTCCTCCTCCTCCTCCTCCTTCCAAAGCGCTTCGCGTGCACCGCCAGCCGCCAGCCCGTTTCGGTTCTCGCGGGGGGAGGCGAAGCCGGCTCCAAGGGGGGGGAACATTTTCGGAAACGGGTAAATACTTCCCTGCGGCCGAGTTGAAGCGTGTGTGTGTGTGTGTGTGCATTCTCCCACTTCGTCACCGTCCCTGCTCACAGGTACAGCACGGCCACTCGCCAAGTCCGCGTGCACGAGTGGGACCTCGAAGCCCACGGTCACCTCGGCCGCTGCCGGGGCCCTTCTTGCGGGATCGATCCGCTCAATGCCCCGCTCACCCTCGCGTTCCAGGCGCACGTGAGGCTCCTGGGTCCCTCTGCAGAGGGCGGAGACGACCTCGCCCTGACTCGGGGAAGTGTCAAACTCGAGTACGCCGGAACTCGGGTTGCCGACGCTTTTTGACGAGCCCGTCCCGGGCTTTGACGGTCCAGCTTTCGTGGGATGTCTGCAGCGGGAGCTCGCGTCAAATTCAGATTCAGATTGGGTCTCGTCGCTTTCTTGATGGCCTCGCCAGGCCAATCCGAGTGCTCCGAACCCGAGGCCAGCGTCTCCCCGACGGAGCTCGGGCGCCAGGGTGGAGCCCGCGCGTTGCCTCTTGCCCTGCGCCCCCGACGGGGAAGCGAATGCCCATGCGGGCGTCAAGCCGCTTTCGGCCCCGCGGGAGGACAAAATCTTCGGCTGCCGCGGCCACCTGCGCCCCGCCCTGGACCGCCCTGGACCGCCCGGGCCCGCCCTGGACCGCCCGGGCGCGGAAATGCCACGGCGCGCCCATGCGGCGGCGGTCGCCGAATGTCGCCGCGCCAGGGCGACCGCGCAGACCGCGCCCCCCCCTCCCCCCAGCGATGCGAAGCTGAGCAACGAAGCGAGACGACGACGTCACCGATGATGTCCATTGCCGTCGTCTCTTGTCGGTCTTTCCAGCTTTGCACCCGGGGGGCGCATGGTGGGGGGGGGGCTGGTGCGGCGCTTGTCGTTTGGGTGCCCCCAGGATTTCCAAGGAGGCCCCCGCGGCCTCCAAAGCGCCCCGCACGAGGCCCAGAGGGCCCCATGGGCAATGGAGCGAAAAGCTGGGGGCACGTTGGGCCAGGGGCACCTTGAGCTGGGGCCCAGGATGGCTCGAAACTCGGTGGCCGAGGCTTCGCATTGGTAGCCAGGGGTGCCTCTAGCACCCCCCCGCAGTGCGGGATGGTCGGCGTCGCTCGCTGCCCCGTGCCCACCGCCGACATCAGCAGGCTCTTCGCCGTCCTGCTTCTCTTTCGCAGGCAGAACCAGGCACCTGGCCCCGACCGCTGACCCCTCTGGTTACGGAAACATTATTTTCGAAACCCTGATGCGCTTCTTGGCGCCCAGCGGCGGGCAGGTGCGAGCGCCATTAGCGCCGCGCGACCGGGCGCGTTAGCGGATGGGTCCACACTAATAGCCGACGGCGAACACGAGACGCTCATCTTTCACTTTGATGGCTTCGTCGCCCTCTCGCGCCTCGTACCCCTGCCCGAGGTGAGTCTCCCTGGCGGCGGCTGCCGTGTCTGCGCCTGCCTGTTCGACATGGGCTGCGCCGCTCCGCAGGCCGCGGGCCCGCGTGACCTGGTAGCGCCCCCGCGGATGTTCGCTGATTAGAGCAGCACCCCCCCATGCGCACCCGCCGCCGGTGGGGCCCGCCGCCGGGAGGTTCCCCCGGCCACCCCGCATCGCCGACAACAGCCTCATCCCACGCTTCCCTTGTCCAGTGCGACGATTGCAGGTTGCGCACCGGCCCGCTGCGCAGGCACTGCAGGCCGCCCCTGCGGCGTCGACCAGCTCAGCCGCATCGTGGCCGTGGCCGAGCTAAGTTTCTACCACGACCCGGCGACGGGGTGTGCCACGAATGCGCGTTTTACCTCCCAGTCAGCGGCCCCATGGGCTTCGCCGACGACCAGCTTCCGACTAATCAGTCACGCTGGCCAGGCCTGCCCCTGCCGCCGCCACGCTGGCCGCCCTCGCCCACCTGGCGTCCGACCGGTCGCCGCGTCGGCTACCAGGCGTCGACGGCCGTAAAGTCTTCCTTGCGGTCTGGAGGAGGTGCTTTCTGGCATGCAGGACGACGAGGATACCTTCGAATGCGGCGTTGCCATGCCTTCTCGCGCCGCTTTCGACTCGGGGTACCCGGCGGCGCCATCAGCCGCTACAGCGACTTCTGCCCTTGCGGAGTGCAAGTGCTACTGGTCCCCACGCCCCTGCGCCTGACGGCCGAGTAGGCCCATGGGTTCTTTCGTTTTCACCGTTCTGCGGGGCGCCACCTCCTGTTGCTGGGCGGCCTCCCGCGATCGTCAGGCTTATCCCGGGCCTGGCAGTCCGGCTCCCCGCGACCTCGGCTAGTCTTGTGCGCGTTGCTGTGCGGAATCAATTGAACTCTTGCGTGGCAGAAACAGCGGTGTGCAAGCGCCCATCCCCCTCCGCGCGCATGCCGCGTGCCCGCGCTAGCCGCTAGCGGCTTCGGCGAGGCCCTCGCCGACGGCCCAGCTGCCCCCGCGACCTCTTCGGACGCCTCAGCACCGCGGCCCTTGGTCGCAGCCTGTTCGGCGCCGCCCCGCGGCCTGCCAGGGGCCCGCCTGCCATTGCGGGCCCTCTGCCCGTCGGTTGGCCCGCGCCGCGCCGCGCCTGCTCTGGCTCTGCCGACCGTGTCCCGGCCCCGAGCGGCGTCGTCCGCGCGCGCCGGGCTCGAGTTTCCCAGGGCGCAGCGCCCCGCGCGCGCGACGGAGACCAGGGCCCACCCTGCGAGCCCGCTGGAGGGGCCGCCCCCGGCGCGCCGCCTGGTGATGGACCGCGGCCCGCTGGCGGCCCAGCGGCCGTCGATCCCAGCCAAGCGGCCAAGGCCGCCCCGCTGGCGATTGTGCTCGGGCGGGGCTAGGATTAAGTCGGGCGCGTCCCTCTACAGGAGAAATATTCGAAAATGGTCAAACATAGTCTTCGGGCGATGTGTCGATTATTTATTTGTTTTTCTGCCCAAGATCTGCCGGTAGGAGGACATGCCCGACCTAAGGATAGGACGAGGACAACTCCGTTCAGAGCGTCCCGGGACGCTTTCAGAGCGTTCGGGAACGCTCTGAGAAGGCCGCGCCGGCGAATCCTACAGGGTAATTAGGCGACGACATGCCCCTTGCCAAGCTGTC